TGCTGGGCTCCGGCGATCCTTCCGCCTCAGCCTTCCGAGTAGCCAGAATTACAGGCAAGCCCTACCACGCCCGGCTGATTTTATGATTTATTGTAGAGATGAGGTCTCACCAAGTTGCCCAGGCGGGTCTCAAACCCGCGGGCTCTGGCTATCCACTCACCTCAGCCTTCCAAAGGCGCAGGATTACAGGCTGAGCCACCGAACCCAGCTAACATTTGTATTCTATTATTCTTTGCAAAAGTATCAACTTTGTAAAATATTTTTATAAATGTTTTGTGATGTCCACTTATTAGGAAGTCCTTCCTTTTGGCCCTGGATGGACTACTTATCCATATATGTCCCCACCTTATTCCAGAAGGACTTGAAGAAACGAATAGACAGAGAACTGATACTAGTTCTTGCAGTGAGAGAAGGCAGCAAGGTATAAACACTGGGCAAATCTCCAGAAGATCCATGTTCTAGTTCTATTTCTACCTTTAGCTGGTCATTGGAGTTTGGCAAGTCACTTTCAGAGAAAAAAGGACTTGGTAGGCATCTTATGTGTTTGACACCCTGCTAGGCACTTTTACTTATTTTTTGATGGCATGTTCCCATTTTACAGATGAAGAAACCAAGGCTCAAGGATAGTACAACGTTATACAATTAATGAGTGACAGGTTTGATTCAAATGGCTCTCTAATTCAAAGCCTATGTTCTTTCTACTATACCAGGCTATTTCCAAAATGGGTTTTATGTTCTAGTCACCTCTGAACAGTTATTTTTCTAGAACCAATCACTCAAGAGATGGCAGGATCTGAGTGCAGAAGCCTAAAGAGCCATCATTATTCCAGGCTTTCCTGGATACTGTTTTAATTCTAGCTATCTTTGGTTATAGCCATTTACTGTCAATGTCTAGAAGCTACTTTAAAACTGTAGGATGTTAACGGGCCACACCTCTGATCCTCTCAGAGAGTTTGAACTCTTGAAGAACGTGTCAGTCACATGACCAAGAGTACTGGGGACTCAAGTCAGGCTGCAATAGCAGAGCCTTTCTGTCAGAGAGAAAATAGTCGGTATTTTATATGGGGAGAAGGGAGCATAAACCACTGGTTCTTCGGTGGTTTAGTCATTCTGTTAAACCAAACAAAAGATTCCCTGGTCAAATGAGTTTGAATTTCCACTGTCAAATAATTAAGATATTCTGGACTAAACAAAGCTTTTTAATGTGTTGAGGTATACACCATGAATCCAGAATTAAGGACTAGAGTGTGATGCATTCCTTAAAGTAGTTTGACCCACACAACCTATTTTAAAGAAACATTTTACAACACTGATCTTGGGGGGTCTTCGTCTACAGAAGAACTGCCAAGAAAAGTGTTTGGTGCAAAGACAAACCAGAATGAAGGAAGTCCCCCTCTGAGCTCAGGAGGCTTGGGGCCTCTCGAGAATCTCCAAACCAGGATACCTTTGAGGAACACCATGGGCATGGAGACTTCTGGCTCTTACTTCTTCTGCATCCCCAGGGGCAGCCTGGGGCCAGTGTATCTGAGCTGAACTTCTCCTGCCTCCAAGCAAGGAAGGAAGAGGTGGCCTTTTAGAAACCTGCTCGCAGCATAAAGAACACTCTGTACAAAATGACGCCTGCCTCTGAAGGATTTCTAATAAAAGTTGGACTGGTAAGCACTCCCTAGAGACTTGTTATTGTGGAATTAATAAAACATAAGGTTAGGTCACCAGGCAGGAGGAGGGAAGGGTCAAATATTTGATTAAACCATGTTTTTATTAAATATACAATTTAAAAACAAAGTTATGGTCCAGATTACTGTGAACTCTGGTGATATTTTAAATATTGCTTTAGAACAAAGGTCCTTAAATTGGAGTGTTAGTTCCAGTTTAATTGTCATTTTGTAGCAACTCATGTTTAAAACATTATCAGGGAAATATGATATTTCCATCAAGATTTAATGACAGAAAGAAAAGCAGTGTGTTAAAGAGTTCATCAATCATTTAATGAATTGATGCTATCAGATCTAAATGAAAATATTGCACTAAATGCAATATGTAACCTTGCAGTACCCTTATATTATTACAACGATTTTTATAATCTAAAGTTAAAGTATCATGGAGGAAACAATCATGACCTAATAAAGTAGGACATTTGTTTTTGTAATTTCATTATTGGAGATGGTCAGAAACAATGAACAGGCAAAGCCAATTTGATTCTTAATATTAAAATCAAGGATAACTATTGTTAAGTACCCGATTTATCTCAGGTTAGACAATTACAGCATGAAATATGAACATGAAAGCAGAATTCTATTAGAATTGAATCACTTTTACTACTTTTTTTTTTTTTTTTTGAGTCAGAGTCTCTGTCACCCAGGCTGGAGTGCAGTGGCATGTTCACAGCCACCCCAGCATCAACCTGCTTGGCTCAGGTGATCCTTCCACTTTAACCTTCCAAGTAGCCAGAACTTCAGGTGCATGCTACCACGCCTGGCTAATTTTTGAATATATTGTAGAGACCAGGTCTCACCAAATTGCCCAGGCTGATCTCAAACCCCTGGGCTCAGGCAATCCTCTCGCCTCAGCCTCCCAAAGTGCTGGGATTACAGGCTTGGGACACCTCGCCTGGTCACTTTTACTACTATTCACAAGCAATTTTCACTTTTTTTCTTTTTGGTGGGGTCATGCTGGCAAGATTTGCAAAGCAAGGCTACAAACTTTGTCACAGAAGATAGCTTACTCGTTCAATAATTTAAATGACATTTTTACTCGTTTCTACTGACAAAATATAAAAGCCTTTAAGCTTATAGTATTTATTCATGACAATCAGAATATTTCACCCATCACCCCATAGAGAAATTATCAATGAGGCAAAGAGAAAATTATCAGTGAGTTAGGAGTCTTACCCTGGGAGATCTCTTTGTTTTGGGGTATCTATCAGTTTCCTCCTATTGCCTTGAAAATATGAAATTAATTAAAAGTAAATTTGGCTAGGCACAATAGCTCATGCCACTTTGGGAGGCAGAGGCAGGAGGATCACTTGAGGCCAGGAGTTTGAAATCAGCCTGGGCCACATAGCAAGGCCTCACCTTAGATAGATAGGTAGGTAGGTAGGTAGGTAGGTAGATAGATAGATAGATAGATAGATAGATAGATAGATAGATAGACAGATAGATGATAGATAAAATTAGCCAGGTGTGGTGGCACACACCTGTAGTCTCAACTACTTAGGAGGCTAAGGTGGGAGGATCGCTTGAACCCAGGAATTCAAGGCTGTGGTAAGCCATGACTGTGCTGCCACACTCCAGTTTGGGCAACAGAGTAAGTCATCAACTCCAAAAAAGATAAAAGGTAAAAGTTGACACATACTGACAATTGTGAGTTGGGGTTTTGTTAGAAGCTCCACATGGGAGGTTTTCTGAGTGAGCACAGTGGGAATGCCTCCCAGCTGTAGGGCTGCCTCATATCTGGACAATTTGCCCACCATGAAACCCTCACGGGGACAAAATAAGGAGCAAAAAGCAGTAGTCACAGCATCCAGCAATTGTTACTAAACAACAAACATGTAAAAATCAACTACCCAGAAGTGAAAAAAAACTATGTATTTAGTTTTGAAAAAAAAAATTTCAAAACATTGGCAAGGAGTCTAGTATGAATATGTACAACACTTTTGTTAATCTACAAACATATTACTCAGAAACATGCTCAAACAAATCTAAAGCATATTTGCAGAAAAAATGAAGTTTTAAGAATTTTTCCCAGAAGAATGAGAAATGTAATCTCTAGACTATACATTATTTAAGTAAAAGTGAAAATCACCAATTCCTTAGATTTATATTTTCCACCAGTGGTTGGGGTTGGGGTCTCGATACGTAAGGAAGGCCCAATGAAACACACACACACATACACATACACACACACACAACTTATATATGTATATTTATATTTTTCCTTAAAAAACAAACTAACTGCAGAAACATTTCCCCAGCATAAATGTTATAAATTGGCTAAAAGTTATGAACTGCAATAGCATATCCGTGTCATCCAAAAGATAACCTGACTTACTTGCACGCATAGCTGTCAACTGCTTCAACATACATGCACACACCATCATGGAGGCAGTATCCATCATGTGATGGGGGACACCCAGGGTAACGATTTCTGATGGAATAGCGGCTATCTTCCCTGATGTGAGGCGGTGGCGTAGAGTCTAGAAGAATTCAAGACATTACTTTTATGTTCTGAAGCAATTAGGGTCTTTCAAGTATCAGTATGAGGAACTGGTTTCTGTGAACAAGCTGTGCTATGGAGTCTTTTAGGACAGTAGAACTATGAGAAACAACAAGCTTCACTTTCCTAGCCAGACCATATGTCATTCACCATAAAGCCAACAGTCCTTCTTTAGGCTCAGTATTACCTGATACAAAGCCTATTGCAGGCAGGTGAGAGAATGGCCGATCCTAAGACACCATATGCATTCAGAGTCACTGCTCCCATAAAAGCAAATCCATCATCCACAAACACACACTAACCATGTGAAATGGTGGCTAGGTTTTAGGTCTCACGGAACAACCAGTATTTCTTTGCGGCTTAAAAAATCGCCCACAAATTCACAGTTCATTACTCCAAATATTCTGGAGGGGGGCTCAAAAATTTATCCCACACAATGATTTCTTCTAAAAACGATTTAATATGCAGGGGAACCCTCACAGACAAGACTGCAGCTACTTAAACAGGAAGGAAATGCCATGATAACAGAGGGAATGCCAAAGTAATAAATTCTCTTTTATTGAATGGTTCACTGCTCCTTAAAAGGAAAACATCAGGGCGTGTAGCTGACTGCATAAATATTGGCAGTTTTTCAATGCCTTTAAGAAGAACAAATTATTTGAGAAAAATAACATGCTAAAAAAAAAAAAAAAAACAGAACAAGCAAGCACAGAATTTTTCTTTTTAAGGGTGTTTTCTGCTTGCAAAGCTTAGAGAGGTAAACAGCTGATGGTGATAGGGAAGAGCCGAATCCTGGCTCCCAAGGTCTAGGGGAAGCTGGCTCCCCTTCTGGGGTGCTGATGGTGAGAAGATATTGCCTTTATGGGGAGAACCGTTCAGGAAGCAGGAGTTAGCCGTCATGAGCATTTAAAAAGAAAGAGAAGGGAGCTGCAGTTCCAATTCAGATCAAGAAATACTGCCTTGATCACATTAGGTTTAAAATCCTTGAAAGTGATTTAAAATGCTAAGAGTCCAGACATTCTCACCAGCCTACCTAGCCCTGCAAAATGTATCCAGCAGTCCCAGAAATCAGCATTACTAATCGAGATGAGTTGTCTAGGTAAAGAGAAACACTGGTGTTCCCACCTTTATTGAATTGTGAGTAATAAAAAAGAATTTGTTCCAGATGCTATTAAACTAAGAAAACTTGGACCATTTCAAATTTTCAAGCCCAGCATCACCCTAATCAGGAAAGTCAGTTCTACAGCCCAATTGAACCAAATGATTTTTAGAATCTCCAATGCAGAGACACTGGGGGACATCATTTCCCTGCACCAAGTCCCCCCGCAATCTAGATCACCCACCGACCTACCAAGGCAAATCAGGTCAGGTGCAGATGGGTGGCCAGCACACATGCAGGTGTAGCCTCCTTCCGTGTTTGTGCAGTTGGCATTCTCTCCACAGCTGTGCACCCCCAGGTGGCACTCATCAATATCTGTCAGAAAAGCCGGAGTAGGGGAGAAAAGTGGGGTGCAGAGGGGGAAAGAGGGTTATACAATCAGAACATACAAAATTCTGGAAGTGGGGCATCCACAATTTCTGTCACGCTGCATGCTCTCGGCACCCTCTGCATTTTTAGGTTTAAAGAGCCTAGCGTGAATGTCGGAGAGATGGACTGGGTCCTTTGCCTCACACCCATGCAGGTGCTCTAAGCTCCTGATAGAGGCTGGACATTTTTCTCCCTCTTGGAAGGAAAGGAGACTTCCCAAAGCTGGAGACTGGCAAGTCACCTGTAGGTAACATCTAGAATCTCAGATCCCTAAAGATTCATATTTAACTATTTTGAATAGACATCCAGCCAGAGACCTCTCCTCTCCTCCCCTCTCCTCCCCTCTCCTCCCCTCTCCTCCCCTCT